CTTCCATGGAGGAGCTCGATGGCGCAAGTGGTTAGCGCGTTCGGCTACGATCGTTGAACTTAAGCAACTTTCGCAGTGGGAGATCATTGGATGGGTGACCATAAATTACTATATCGAGCTCCTCTGTGCTTCGGCAGGCACGTTAAGCCGTTGGTCCCGGCTGCATCTGCAGTCGTTAGCACCCACCAATCCGCACTGGGCCCGCATGGTGGGTCATGGCCTAATCTCCCTATTCCATCCATAGGGAAGGCCTGTGCCCCAGCAGTGGGGACATTATTAGGCTGATGATGATGATGGTGATGAATCTTCCATGCTGAAGTACATGACTTTCTTATTAGTGTTTTATGAACAGCTTATTTCTATCCTCTTTAATATTCTTGAAAGTAAATGAAACGTAAAAGACGAGCAAAGTTTGCACCATTAAGAAATTTATATCCCAAAGAGTGCAGGTGAAGAAGGTTAGGTACATAATATTCGGATTCAGATTTGGAGGAGCTCGATGTCACAAGTAGTTAGCGCGTTCGGCTACGATCGTTGAAGTTAAGTAGCTTCCGTAGTGGACTTACTATCACGAGCTCCTCCGTGCTTCGGAAGGCACGGTTACATTTCGGAGAGTGTGCTTCGGAGTTACATAACATAGTTCCACCTTCACCTTTTTACCACAGAACTACCAGAGAGATGACAAAACGCCACAGATATACCGTAGAGGTCCCGCAAACTCGTACTAAACAGTTTGCTTCCACCTATATCGTCAGAACAGCTAGGTTGTGGAACTCTTTGCCGGAATCTCTGTTTCCAGTCACCTATAATCTGGGGCTCCTTAAGTCGCGAGTGAATCGGTTTCTTCTAGGCAAGCGCGTCCCACCTTAGGCTGCTACGTCGCTCTTCATCAGGTGCGTGGCCGTCAAGCGTAAGCCTATTTAATGTAAAAAAAAAAGTGAATCTGTTGGTCCCGGTTGCATCTGCAGTAGTTAGCACCCACCAATGCGCACTGGGCCCGCGTTGTGTGTCATGGCCTAATCTCCCTGTTCCATCCATAGGAAGTCCTCCTCCTCCTTTGCCCCAGCAGTGGGGACATTAAAAGGCTTTTAATGATGATGACGAAATTTTCAAGCCGTTTTTTTTCTCTCTTCATACATCACCACCGATTTTAGGGTCCAAATCTTGTCCAGAAACATTAGTGATTTTGACATCTTTTCATCGCTTATACAAATTTTGATCATCCATCCGATGCACTAACGTTGCATAATATTGCTTAACTCCGTCAAATGCAGACTCAACATGCCAACCACTGGATTTCGCCATCCTACCCTTTACTAATACAACACACATTGACACCATTCAGTCATTCATAACATATAACAGCGATCAGAAATTCAATTAACGCCGCAGGGTGGCATTTAGGTCCGTGGCATTTCAAACTAGCTGGCCCATTATGGTGGCCCCTCATAATAATCCCTAAACGTTGCCATTTTCAAGGAAACCGTTTTCAATCGCGTACCTACCGTTTTTGATTGGGTCTTGGGACATGGGGTCCGTTTTCGATTGAAACGTTAATTTAATATACGAATGTTTTTTAACAGAGGTAAACATATACCCACAATGTGAAGTTATCGTTTATTGACATATAAACTATGTAAAATTTAGTAATTTGATTATGATTAATAATTAATAATTAATGATTAAAAGAAATATTATATTGCATGCCGATAAGGCAGAATATGGGTGTACTGTACTAAAATGTATCTGTGTAACAACTTTGTAACCTGTATTCGCAATAAAGATGATTTGATTTGAAAAATACTAAAATTTTACCTTCTTAACTAATTTCGATTTTTAAACAGACTCCGTAACAAAAATGGTCTAAAAATTATAACTTTAACGGCCCTTCATTTCTTTGTAAATTGAAAAAATAATAAATATTTCATTAAATAAATAATTCTGACGAAGCATCTTGAAAGGGATGCGACACGTCAAAACAGTAAAAAATTAACACATTTAAGCGTGTTTTATTTAATGAGTGGTCTGCATGAAAACTTAAGAAAATAAATATAGTAATTTTTATACATTTAATCAAAATCTACCATTTACTGTAGGTTCTATGTTGTTTTACCTTTAAACTGCGAAGGATATAATCTATCATACATTCCCCACATAGAGGTAAATTAATCCCGCAACCTGCCGCCTAACAATGAACTGTGCAGAAGCAATTAAATATTAAACTTTAATTCCCTTACTGCCGGACTAGGGTGGGGGTATGGAGCGGAGCTGATGCGATGTTCTGATATCATCTCTTTTAGATAGTTGAACCAATTAATCGCAGCTGTTTAAAGTGATTGTCTCTATAAAAAATAAATACTTCTTTAGTTTTAGGATTCCGTACTTCAAAAGGCAAAAATGGGACATTTATATGATGACTTTGTTGCCCGTCCAGCGTCGGTCCGTCTGCCCGTCACCCTTCATCACAGTTTTAAAATTATAATAACTTTTTAAGTAGACGAGATATTGTTTCGAAATAAAAACGACTCGAAAAAGGGTTTAATTTTGTACTACAATTTCAAAGAAAGTTGATAAAATATGCTATAAAATGATTTTTCTTTTAAATCTTTTCCTTCCGTAGTTTTGAAAATATTGTAATTATAGAAATCCTACAAATTATCATAAAACCCTCAGTGGACGAGTATGACCGCACTTGTCCGCTTTTTATTACAAAAAATAAATGAAGAATTGAGGACTATGGATGCCATAATATTGCAAACAATCATTTCGAATTGCCATAGCAACAATAACCTTTGTTGTTTAAAAGTAAATATATTTTTAATCTTAAAAGTGCTTAATATAGGATTTTAAATATTATTGTTTAATTAAAAAAATAGAATATTTAAAAACCAACATCGATGTCTATCAGAAAAATTGGTTTTCAAATACATTTTGGGTTAAGGATTTTATATAAGTTTTTTGTGTTCAAATAACTTATGTGTTTATGTTAAAATTTTATTAGCGACAAGACTCATTTTTTTATATATTTGAACGTAGCAGTTGTTTGATTTACAATTTACTAGATTTATTTATAAGAGATCCTTATTCATAAAAACACAATGACTAACCCAAACATTCCCTTTATCTGTATTGCAAAATTCATCTAAATCTGTGTTACAGACAAGGTTTGAAAACTCAACAAAGAGATGGACAAATAGAATAAAGAATCGTACGTACAAAAAACAAACTTGCAAACATAAACATACAAGAAACCTGAAAACATTACACTCCTTTTTTGGCAGACGTGAAAATAGTTGACGGCAATAAAAACAAGAGCATAAATCATAACATACTCACAACCAATAGAAACTTTTGCCTAGCGATCTCCGTCCCGGACCAGTATAAATTGGGAAATTCCAGATTTCCATTAATATCAAAACGATTCCAAGATATTTAATGCGACAAAAACCGGAGTCGCAGTTTCAATCCACTACGTTAAAGCATCAATACTTTTAAAAATCTCGTATTTAAAAGTAAGGCTGACGACTAGCGGAAATATTATTTAAGAAATGTTAAATAAACCGCATATGTAGAAACGGAAGTTATGTATTATAGAATTTATGTAGAAGTTTTTGCGAACTCCAGAGGTAATGTCCTATGTCTTATATTAAAGCTCCATATTTGAGTAGACTACTATGTGTCGCCGCACACGGGCCACACGCCACAGCCTCAAACGCCGCCAAGAGAAGTTAGAAGAGGCTACTAAAGTGGCTGAAGCACGCGACAGCGGCCGACTAAGTGTCGCCGCATACAGGCCACCGACCACAACCACAAAACGCCGCCACCGGCATATTTCTTGTAGTTTTCATACATTTTATACGGACTCGCCACACACGATACGCCGGTGGCCGCCACACGCTACAAATCGTCGTTGCTCGCTTCTTGTGGCCCGCACCGGTCACTTAATGCGCCTATACAAAACGCCGCCACACGTCACTCGCGCGATTCCCCACCCCTCTCTCCCTTACCTTAATCGGCAATTAAGAAATATGCTGGTGGCGGCGTTTTGTGGTTGTGGTCGGTTGCCCGTGTGCGGCGACACTAAGTTTTGATCTTTGCTTGAACCTTTACATTAAAAGGCGATGGGAATAAAATTCGTTAGTTTAATTTATTGTCTATCTGAGAAAACACTAAGAGAAATATAAGTTAAACTTAAAAATGGGGCTGTATATTTATGTTTATTGGTTGATATTTGGACATCTACTTCAAAAAAATGCTAAAAGACGAATATCGGTTCGCAAAGCTACGGAACTAGCACTGAAAAGGAGACTCAGGTTATTTCAGTCAAGTTGAAAATTGACTTCAATATCAAGATGGGTACGAAGTCGACGTCCATAAGAACATTTTAGAAATATTTGAAAGCAAATATAGCCTTGAAAGGGAAAGGCATGGCGAGTGCAATGGTTTCAAAGCTATGCTGAAAAGCTTTGAATAGATCAAAGAGACTTCTTAAATGACTTTTGAGAACGTGAAGTTTATACGACATTATATACGAAAGATCGACAGCTCTGTAGAGAGTGTGACCTGCGATTGAAGAAATTAAGCAATTTTCTCAAAGGTTTGTCGAAGGATGGGTGCCCAAGTATTTACCACCCAGAAGCTTTTACATGTTTTAGAAGGAAGGTCATGGGATCCCAACGAGTCCGGAATATGTAATACTCACTGTTTGGGATTTTTAGGTTTATGTTATTTCTTATTAAGGAATTTGTAGATGTGATTGGATGAATAAATATTGTTCTAAATATAGCAAAAATGTGAATGTTAGTCAGGGCAGAACTTTAGCAAATTGGGATCGATGACCATAAACTACCGTTAGTCAAAGATAGAAAACAATTATCAATAATTATTCAGACTCTCTGATTGTAACAGTGTTTTGGTTGCGCTCACTATTAACATTAGGTGGAGGTGGCCATTTCCTGTTAAGTATATTTTTTTTATATGAAATAAATATAAATATTTACCTGAAGGAGCCAGTAACATCGTCTATGAAACGTGGGCAGGATAGCGGAATGCACGTAGCAGCCGTAGATACACTGAAACAAAATATAGTCACATAACGTCATTAGCATTATTGATAACCCCACACCTGGGGCACATTTGGGCTGGGTTTCCAAAGACTGGGCCATGTTTGAGTTATTGTAAGGAATTGAATTTAAGTTTATTCGCTTATACACAATATATTGTTTGAAACTTTCATGGTCACTGACATGATAGCTATTAACGGGATCGTTACCATGTACCTTGTTTTTTATGAGTATCCGATATTTTGGCACTGTTCTGATCACGGAGAAGCTGAAGTAATTGCGGGTAGATGTTATTAACAGACATACTCGTATATCAGAGATTCATAAAAAACAAGGTTGATGATAACAACCCGTACCATCTATACAAGACACTCTATTATAACATTAAAAAAACCGGCAAAAAATCACGTCTATTGGGAGCACTTTAATTTTTTTTAAAGTTATTCTTAATGTTTTTTTTTTACTTTTTAATTATATAACTTGATATTTTGTGAATATTTTCTATTATTAATATAGAGCAAAAAACGGCAAAAAATCAAGTTCATTATAGGGGAGCCCCCATCAAATATTTATTTTATTCTAATTTTAGTATTTCTTCTTAAAGTGGTAATAGAATTACATCATCTATGCAAAAATCCAACTGTCTAGCGAACACGGTTCATGCGATACAGCCTGCTGACAGACAAATGGATAGAGGAATCTTAATGATAGGGTCGCGCTTTTATACTTAAGGTACAGAACCTCAAAAAAATATTCCGTAATACAGCGCCAATACCTAAACTATAGCACAAGGGAAGCAATTACCTGGCTAATTAGCCGTTTAGCAGCGAGCAGTTTGTGAGTTCGCACCCTAACCCATAACTCAGCTGGAATCACTGGGGCAATTAGGCAATAGTCGCAATGACCCGCAGCTAATGCTTCAAGTGTTTGATCGCGTTGGGGCGAATCGGTTTCTATTATTTGTCGACTACTCTCCTTGATTGGTTCATGGGAGACTTTCGATGCTGTTGGGTGAGAAGTCTTAGTATTTTATTTAGTTTTCTTTGTACAGGCATTACACAGCTAAGTTTGGTTTGGGACTGAGTACTCAATTGTAACAAGTGGAAAAATATGTATGTTTATATTATGGTCCGAGTGGATTTTTTTCAATAAAATTCTTAAAATAGGGCAGCGTTTGGGAAGCTACGTCAAGTCCTAACATCGTCGATCCCACAGTGCCTAAAGACGGAAAGTCTTCAATCAGTGCGTCCTACCTGTGATGGCATACGGAGCCGAGACGTGGACACTGACGGTACGGCTGGTCCACAGGTTCAAAGTCGCTCAGCGCGCTATGGAAAGGGCTATGCTCGGCGTTTCTCTGAAGGATCGCATCAGAAATGAGGTAATCCGACAGAGAACCAGAGTTATCGACATAGCCCACCGGATTAGCAAGTTGAAGTAGCAGTGGGCTGGCCGTATTTGCCGAAGAACCGATAACCGTTGGGGTAGACGAGTTCTGGAGTGGAGACCGCGTCTAGGCAAACGTAGTGTAGGACGTCCTCAGGCACGATGGAGTGACGATTTGCGCAAGGTGGCTGGCAGAAGCTGGATGCGAGTAGCCCAAGATCGATCTGAGTGGCGTGCATTTGGAGAGGCCTATGTCCAGCAGTGGACTATGATGGGCCGTTGATGATGATGATGATAAATAATATAACTATATATGTTTATAATTTTTATTTTTTAAGCATGAAGTTCGATGTTTATATCTATTCATTTGAATAATTAATGTTTTATAGAAATATTATACCTATTACATACCGATAAGGCAGAATATGGCTGTACTGTACTAAAATGTATCTGTGTAACAACTTTGTAACCTGTATTCGCAATAAAGATGATTAGATTTGAAAAAAAATATTACTAGAAAAAATTCCACGCGGACCAGGCAACAGAAGGGACTCGAACACGCACCGTTCGCTATCTGGGCAAATGCACTGACCATTATGCTCCCGCGGCTATGTATGTTTAATTAAATTAAATTCAAATTTCGATTATTCTGTTTAAGCTTTTACAAGCACATGTGAAAATCGAAAGTTACACCATCGGTTCGCAAATCAACGGCGGGAGATCTTGTACTGAGAAGACCGGCAAGAAACTCAGCAAGAGATGCTTTTTCTCCCTGTTTTCTTTCATGCAGCGTCTTCAAATTAAAAGCTGACATTAAACTCACAAACATGTATTGAAGTCAACTTCCTCGTGTTCTTCTCACAACTCAAAGTTGTTATTATTTTTGAAGTGAAAACTTCTTTAGCGGCGTTGTACATTTTTTTTGTATGGGTAAAAAATGATAAACTCGCGTCAGGTTAATCACGTGGGCTGATCGCATTATGACACACAATAAAATTGGAAAGGTTGTTGACTTTCAATATATTGGACGCAACATAGTAACATTTTATTTCAGCGTATTATAATAAAGTCTCTATCTAGGACGTTCACGTGGCAGTTTTATTACGAAGAAAATGTATTCTTTTACAATAGATGTCGCTAGGTGCGCTTAAATGTGATTCATGTAAGTTGATTTCTTTACAATAGATGTCGCCAAGTGCGCTTAAACGTGATTCATGTAAGTTGATTTTTTGATTTTGGTTGATTGTTGAGTTTTGAGAGATAAACTTTTTTAATGTAATATAAATTGTCATGTTTGTGTACGATAGCGCAATAAATAAATATTGTATTCCACCGCATACATAATAGTTCTTTTATACTTATAATTAAAGCAAATCGTGCAAAATTATTCCCTAACCATTCCAAAAATATCAAAAATGCACAACGTTAATATTCAAGTTTTCACTTCTGCCGGCACTCCTGGAGTGCAACCCGTCGTTATTTTTTAAGCAGTTAACTGCTAGATGTTTAAATAGAAACATTTCTTTTTACTAGGAAAAAATAACACGCGGCCCAAGCAGCAGACTGGACAATATTTATTAGTTCTACTTCCATTCTTCTCATTCATAGAGCAACACGGACGTGGCCAGGACGCAACCGTGTTCATGTATGTCATAAGCCTTCTTATTTCCCTTACGTGAGCATCAAGCTCCTCATTAATTTTCATTACTATTTTAGAAACCATTGAACCATTATATTCGATACAAAATATAAAATAATATCTACAGTAATTAAAAATGCGAAAGGAACTACCAAGGGATGTCTGCTTGTCTATCTGTTATGTGAATGTTAGTCTGTGTCTGAAAGACTATTTATGTTTGAGCTACATTCATGTAATCTGTGGAGCGGATCTCTCTCTCTTGATCATCGGTGTGCAAGATGGATGTATGGATGGCTAGTTGATTATATTAATTAAATAATAATGTAGTACAAGTTGCTTAATAAATAAATTTTGATTTTAAATGAATTGTTTCAAATCGTCAATTAGCAAAAATATAACTATGGTGTCGATTCCGGCGTGATTCTCTAAACTTAAAACTTAATTTAACATCAGTCTCTCCTTTTCATTCTGTATAGAGAATGACAAGGATGTACTGTTGTCAAATTTAAGTTTAGGTTTAGAGAATCATGATAGAATCGACACCAATATCGATATGTATGATTCGTTTTCACGCTTAATCATGGCACCGATTTTGAAGATTGAATTAAGAAAAATAGACCTAGCAACAGGCATAGGCCATTTTTGACTTAAAATTAAAACTTGAAGTAGGAGATGAAAGTTTTGCACCCACTAGCACGGAATATATAATCAAAATAATACTTTGAAACAAATGGACTCCAGACCAGATTCAGATATTCCAAATGCTATCAATAAATAGGTTTTACAAGTGCAACATTTGTGGCTTTGATGAATTTTTAACAAGCAAACGATTCAGTTGAAAGTGTCGTCACGTTCATGTGGGAATGTGTGAATTTATACCTTTACATTTGTGTGAACTCATGCGGCGTAAGTGATAAAAAGAGCGAGATGAGGATCTCGATGGCGCAAGTGGTTAGCGCGTTCGGCTGCGATAGTTGAAGTTAAGCAACTTTCACAGTGGTCGATCATTGGATGGGTGACCAAAAATTTAAAGACACGTTAAACCGTTGGTCGCGACTGCATCTGCAGTCGTTAGTACCCACCAATCCGTACTGGGTCCGCGTGCTGGGTCATGATGGCCCAAACTCCCTATACCATCCATAGGGAATGCCTGTGCCCCAGCAGTAGGGACATTAATAGGCTGATGATGATAATGAAGTGATAAAAATGTGTTAGAAGTTTTTACCATTAGGCGTAATTAAAACCCCCTAAATACTTATTAAAATTTAACAATATATATAAATTTTTACAATAGCACTACTGTAAAGTTTTTTAATTAGTTGACGTTGATTCTGTAAAATAGAATCTCACTTCCGATTTCGGTAGCTGCCATTTGAGACAAAGTTTGATATCCATTACTCCATTACACGGCATTAGATATTTGACATTTGTTAGAAATCCGAGTAAGTGAGATTGCATCTTACAGAATTACCTACGCTTATTTTATTGCTAGTTTATTTTTTTCTTCTTCATGGCTTCGCACGGCTTGTGCATTTAGGCAATGTCAAGTGTTAAAATGTTTACAAATACTATAGCACCACGAGGTCAAAGTAATAAATCAACTCAAAGTAAGTGGCAGTCAAGTCAATCCCCCTTTCCCTATGTTTCAGTAAAAGTGTGGGGATTTACTGGAACCTCCCCGTGGACTTCTTGAGGGAACGTCGAAAGATACTTTCTGCTATTTCGTTTCACTTGCCAACACCTGTACATGTTCCCGAACACTTGTGGTTAATAATCCACCATTATTAGACACTAACATCGGCCACAACACATTTTTTAACAAGAAGAACAAAACTGCTAAAGTGACGCTTCCCGATCCCGCCAAAAAGTCCCATTGCTAGTATTTGTATGATTTCCTTTACTTTTAACTTCATTTTATTTGTTATTATACCAACATACAGCCAACTGACAACTTCAAGGAATATTTCCGCAGACAGAAGTGAAA